GCAATATAGGACATCTTTAACTAGATAATCAAATACAAGACTCTATCTAAATAATAGAAATCAGCATCAAGAGAATATAAAAATCATCAATAGAAAAAAGTACATCATCAACAGGATATATGACATAATAAAAAGAATATAGGACATCATTAACAAAACCCAAGAAATCAACAAGACAATAGAGGAAATCATTTGAGAAATTAGAAGATATAATGATAATAATAAAGGATATAATCAAAAGAATATAGAACATCATTAACAGAACCCAGGACATCAACAAGACAATAGAGGAAATCATCTGATAAAATACAGGATATCATCATAATAACAAAAGAAATAATCAAAAGAATATAGGACATCATTAACAGAATAAATGACATCATTTATTGCAACAAAGCACCTCATCGTGAGAAAGAAAAACATCAGTTTCATACACATATTATACACATAATACATATAAGACATCATGAACATAGTAGAGGATATCACTAAAAATTACAGGATATAGGTTAAAAACAAAACATATATTACAACAACAACAACAACAACAAAACAAACCTAGTTTCGGCAGTTAACTTTCGCTTCGACAATTTCCTTCTTAATATTAATATCTTGCGACTCTTGATTGTTCAATCTATGAAGTGCATACCCAAAAAATAGACCTAGATGCCGCAAATCTTTGGCCAATTTATTTTTATGGGGAAAGCCAACCTTAAGGTGTACAACAATACAAAGGCTATCACAACCGCAAGATGGAAAATTTTAATATTAGCATCTAATAGAAATATGAAAATCTATCTAGTAGACCAAAAAACTTGGGTAAATGGGGATGATTTACAAAAATATGGTAAATATAAAACTTATTTACACTTTTGCGTCGGAATAAAAATTATTTACGGAGTTATTGTCGACGTAGACTCAGATAAGTAGCGGTTTTACCCTTCATAAATTGTTACTCCGTATCTTTATTTGGAGTACTAAACACAAACCGCTACCTAAGGTAGCGGTTTATCTCTAAAAAAAAAATTACCCCCAAATGTATTACCAAGCCTACGTGGAGTCGTGAATTGTTTTTTCGTAATTAAGTTTCATTCCAACTCAAAACCGTAAATAAGTTTTTTAAAAGCTATATTTTTGTAAATCTTCCGGTAAATGGCATTATATCTTACTTAGTATGATTAAAACTCTTGATCATTAAGCGTTTACCAAATAAGTTTTAATATTTTTATTTTGGGAAAGTTCATAAATTTTAATTTTTTTTTTTTGAAGAATAAATTTAAAACTTGATATACTCTAAGGGGGCATTTGGTTCGCGGATTATAGATATTAGGTATGGGTTTAGAATGACCAAAACCCATATTATATGTTTGGTTGTCAAAAATATGATTTTTAAACTCATACCTCAAACCCATGAGGTATGGGGTTTAGAAACCTTAGGGGGAAGGTGTGTTTGGCTCATTCCATTTCCTTAGGTATCAAATATATGAAATTAAGGGGATGATATTTCATTCCAGAATTGAACCAAACACATGGTATTAAGTATCAAGTTCCAACCCGATACCACCTTAACCCTATTCCTGATTCCAAACCTATACCACTCTGCGAACCAAACGCCCCCTAAAACTTTTTTTTTGTTTACTTTATTTATTTACTAGTTTTGTGCCCTGTGCGATGCCCGGGTTGTTTATTGAATTTTAAAATAAAATAATCTATATGTCAAAATTTAAAATATATCATTGATACAAAATTAGTTAGGAGCTGATGTGCTTTTCTGACGATTTGATATCGAATAAGCATGTAATGACTATTAATAATGTTGGTGAAAATATTCGCTTTAATACATTAAAAAATAATTAAAAAAAATTAACAAAATATAAACTAAATAAAATAAATGTTCAAAGCATGTCAGATTGACCAGAACCCAAAACTTTGGGCAAGGGATGAACATTTCTTGACACATAACCTGAAGTGACCCAATCCGAGATGTTTCATGACCCAACCCTAATTGACATATATTCATTCTATTAGATTGTGAAGTATATAATTTTAACCCAATTAGTGTATATTATAAATGGATGTTTTACGCTTTGAACTACTTCCTTCACTCCAAAAAAATATTATGATATAAAAAATAAATTATATGATAATTTTTGAGAATTATAATCTAATACATTGGATAAAATTATAATTCAATTTGTACATATGAAATATTGATATTTTATCGATAATAAAACTCTAGACTAACAATTTTATCATAAAATTCTATTCAAATAAAATTCTAAACTAATCTTTTTATCTTATGAAATCTATTTAAATTTATCAACGTGGCGCGACACTTGGCGAAAAGTTAGAACGCCAAGTGTCGCAATGTCGTAACCTGGCTATAAGTTTAGCTTTATATATTAGTTACTAGTTTTGTGCTCGTGCGATGCTCGGGTTGTTTATTGAATTTTAAAATATATTTTTAATCTATATGTCAAATTTTAAAACATATCATTGATACAAAATTAGTTAGGAATTGATGTGTTTTTGTGACGATTTAAACTTGTAGACATGTAATGACTAATTATAATAATATTGGTGAAAAATATTTCTTGACCCGTAACCTGAAATAATAACCCTGCCTGAAATAACTGGTGACCTGACCTTTACTAGTTAAAACACAGTAATAAAATTATATTAGAATGTGAAGTATATTATTTTAATCGATTAGAATATATTATAAATAATGGATGCGGTACATTTTGAACTAATTCCTTCACTCTAAAAAAATATTATGATACAAAAAATACATTTATATGATAATTTATGAGAGTTCTAGGCAAATGAGGATTTACATGTTCCCAAAATTGGTAAGAAAGTTGATGATGTTATATGGCTTTGTAATTTGGAAAACCCTAATTCTCCTCCATTTCAGCCTCCTTCTTGGCCTCAACCTTCTTATCCAGGTATTTTCTCTGTCTTCCTTCAATTGCTTTACAAATTTATTGCTATTTATGATTTTTTTATTGGATGAATTAAATCACGTGTCAAGTGAATTATGCTACCTCCTTTGATTTTAACATTTGAAACTTGTACAAATGTTAAGAAATTATGTCTTATGTATCTGTAATGCTTTGATTTATGGACTATTCATGTACTCTTTATGGCGAACTTTTAATAGAGAAATTTTGGTTTGAGCAAGAAAGCGTAAAAAAGCGGGTGGGTCTAAGAAAAATAGACAATTTTTATAATCAGGGGCAAGAACATTGACTTTCTTTCCAAAATGTTCGATTCAATACATTAAAAAATATAAAAAATTAGCGAAAAATAAATTAAATTAAATAAATGTACAAAACCAGTTGGATTGACCCGAACCCAAAACTTTGGGTAAGGGTTGAACATTTCTTGACTCATAATCTGAAGTGACTCAATCCGAGATGACTCATAAATCGACCCTAATTGACAGATCTACATAGTAATAAAATTCTATTAGATTTTGAAGTATATTATTTAAACCGATTAGTATATATTATAAATGGATGTTTTATGCTTTGAACTACTTCATTCACTCAAAAAAAATATTATGATATAAAAAAAAAAATTTATATGATAAATTTTGAAAATTATAATTTAATAATTTTTTTGAATAAAATTATAATTCAATTTGTACATCTGAAATATTGGTTTTTTTTATCGAAAATAAAATTCTAAATTAACAATTTTATCCTAAAATACTATCCATATATAATTCTAAACTAATTTTTTTATCTTATGAATTCTACTTAAATATATCCAACGAGGCACGACACTTGGCGAAAAGTTGAAATGCCAAGTGTCGCTGCCTCGCGATTTGGCTAAAAGTTTAGTTTTATATATTAGTTATATGATATGATATGATATGATTTGTTTTTTGGAAATTTAATAGTTTTAATTATTTTTTTCGAGAAACTTAATAAATTTAAACTTGAAACATTTTATATTTTCTTTTTCGTTAGGCGAACACTAAATATTATTAAATCAAATCGAGTTCCATCAAAGTTCAGAAACTTTAGAGGAAATTGTCACATTATACAAACATCGACTTAATATCATCATACACCAACATCAAAAGGGGGTATCCAATACAATATTATGCAGAACGTTGTGAGCATCACACTCCAATTTGACCTTTAGCAGCCCCATTTGTCTAGCAATTCGGACACCCATCCTTGCTACTGCAACCTCAGCAAGCTCCACATCCCACCTCGCATCTACCCTCTGCACTGCAGCAACAATAATACACCCGTTGATGGACACACCCAGCCCCACGCTTCCGTCAGCACCAATGTGTCCATCTGAGTTAATCTTCACCGCACCAACAGCCGGGGCAGCACCAACTTTCACACATCACCGACCCAGCAGGCCTAGCAGGTTTGAAGACCCTCGATGCATACTCCCTGTTATCGTGCTGCATAATTTGAAGCGATGTGCACAGGGTCAGCAACACTCCCTTGGTGTATTCTCTTGTTTCTGCAATAGCTCCACTCTTTCTCGTCAAGTCTTCTAGCAACCCACTGAAGGATGTAGCAGGGGCATCCACCAGTAATTGCACTGTGCCCAAATCGCAGTAACGTCCTGACAACTGGACAAGGCATGAATAATTGTCTCACTTGCATTCCCACAAGTTTGACATAGACCTTCAGCAGCAATGTGGCAATGGTGAAGGCGCTCTTTGACAGCGAGGCTCCCCTTACACGCTCGTAGGCCATCAATTCATTGACACATATTCACTTACCGAATTTGGCCTTTATCTATTTGTGATAAAAAAATTTGTTTATCAATTTGTGAGTAATCTCCCACTAGATTTCATATCAAGTTATTTCACAACTAGTTTTAGATGAGGAGTAAAATATGGATGTAAAACTCATTGGAAATGCTCCATAGTTCACAAATTTTGACTTAAATATCCTAGCATGGTTTTCAGCCAACTCTTGTAAATTATCAAACTAAAATTAACTGTAAATTAAATCAGAATGAAATAAGGTTCAAAAAATCAAGTCACATTCATGCATAAATGAATAAATCAGACTCTTATCATAAATCAAATCCTCCCAATGTGATGAAAAAAACACAGAGAATGTGGATTCTATCATCACAACAATCAACCAAATGTACCCAAAAAAAAAAAACTTCCTCAACACTAGCGTCAAATATAGAATGAGACCCTAAGTAATACAAGTATTAACACTAAAAATTTACAAGATGCGAGGGGTCATGCGATGAGTTACAGCATTCAGAACATGTCAGCAACAACATGAAACACATATAAACTGCATAGTTTCTCTGTACACAAAAATTTCTTAGTTTTCCCTTGAAAACTCAGCCACTTCTTCTAATGCAATTTCCCGGTAAAAGATATTTAAACTTTTCTGCATTCTGTAGTAAGTAAGAAGGAAGATGAACAGCAGAATTAGAGCGAGGGATTGCACCCAATTTCCCAATCATGTCGCGAAATGTATATTCTTCAGGAAGCATGTCAAACAGGTTTGTCCCTTTACATATAATATCCTGAATCCTCTTAAGGTTCAAATAATGTGAAAATCTGACACGGTCCGTATGACTGTATGCCTTCATTTTGAATATGAAATCTGATATGTGCCGAAAGCAAAAGCTACAATGCCACCCAGCATCTGCCAAGAGAAGATCAGTCTGTCGAAAATGTGCATACCTAGTGACTCCAGGTTTGTACCTGTGGATTGAAGCTCTCCAACTATTGTCATCTACGTGGTAATCAAATGAGTATAAATAGTTCTTGAGCCGTAGATGAAGAATTGGAGGAACATAATCACACCACCTCAGCAAATCCACCGTGTGTCTGCTAGGAATTTCATCAACATCAGACATTACTAGCAAATCATCCTCCTCAATGCCAGCAATTCGGAGAAGCTGATCAAGAGCAACTCTTTGATATGCCTCCTCAATAAAAGGATTCTCCCCTTTCTTAAATCTTCCTCCTATTGTACCATAAGTTAGCCTTGGTTCAATGAACTTGAACTTTTCACGATTAATAAAAAAGAACAACGGCTTTGGTATGCCTGTGAAGGTAGAATTTGATTCCAATAGAACAAATTGAGTGACAAAAGGATACAATTCGTTCCAACGGATTTCTAACATATCCACCTCATTGCTGAATAGAACCGCATCAAAAACTCTACGAGGATAATCACGAATTCCCCAACCATGAAGCTTGCATAGAGTATCCATTGTCATATTCTCATTGTAATAATGAGTGATTTCAGTGAAAGGCTTCGGAGGGTGATCCCATAGCGGTCGAAGGAAATATGTAATCTTTTGACCATGAAGATAAACACCAAATATACACAGTGGGATCAGCACAAAACTTAGAAGAAGGGTCTTCATATCAATTCCTCTAACAATACAATTTAATCTTGACATCATTGCCCCGCCTCGAATTCCCTGTGCAGATGAATTCATTAGATATAAGGACTCTTCCATTGTCTTCATTCAGTTTTCTTACAATATTAGTCTAACAAACACCACCTACCATGTTTAATTATCAACATATAACAATAAGGTTTCAATTTAATCAAATATTCTGCTTCTCTTCGCCAACTATATCAACCAACCCAACTATCTCGGCCACAAAAATTTATTTCTTGGATTATGAAAAGAGGGTTGATACCAAATATTTAAACATAAACACTTCAATACTAATATATACATCAATAAATTTCACATTTTATTCTATCACCAAAAACTAAATTAGAATTGGAAACAAATATAATCAAGCAATTTTTAAAAAGCCATAAAAAATCACAATAAATTCAATTTATAATCACCAAAAAAAAATGTTATTTAATAACATTGGGTTTAACATGGAATAAAATTAAATTCCAAAATTATAAGCTTTCAACGAACAATTCAAGGCATGCAAAATCAACCCATGAACCAAAAACTGTCCAAAGTTCTAATTTTAAACTCAAAACTCAACCAAAATCAGCAAAAATCAACACGAAAACTTCATCACCAACAAAACAATAAGATACAGCAGAAAGAAGCGTCAATTGAACAATGGCAACAAAAAAAGAGGGGGGGGGGGGAATAGGATAAATTACCTGGCCACAAATATCATTACAAATAGCATCAGTTTTCTTCGAATAATAGTAACCCTCAGCCATAATTTTAAAACCCAAATTACAAAAATCCATAAAATTGCCAGAAATTAATGAAATGGGCGCCCAAAAATTAATCACCTGTTTCTGTTAATATTGACAGAGTTGAGAAATTGTGTGAAAAATGGAAGCAAAACAGGAGAAGAGAGAGAAAAAAGGGTGGTAATTGGGGTGGTTTTTGAGCCGTTGAAGATGGTGTGTGTTGTGGGGTGTTTTTGCAGGTTGAGAGGAGTTCGAACCGTCAATAATAATAGCCGTTTGGTGTTACTTTCTCTCTCTAAAATCTTAAAACAAGGGTTGAGAATCGGGAGAGGGAGAGGGAGAGGGAGAGACAACAAGTATTTATCAATAATCATCATTATATAAATAAATAAAAAATAAAAATAAACAATAATTGTTTCATTAGGTTTTTTTTTTTTTTTTTTTGACAAAGGATACTAAAATTACATATTAATACTAAAGCAAATAAAATTAATTGTCGCTTCTCCCGCGATTTGATGAGCTCGATGAACGCGCTGCCGATCCGCCTTATGTATATTACAGTACTAAAAGGTTGAACCAAGCTGTTCAATGAAGGTTCCGAGTGTTAGATAAACCTTTAAAGTATTTCCTAAAATAGTGTTGATTAATGTCAAAGTCACAAGTCGATTAATGTAATTAATGGTTATTTCATTTTCCTTTTAATATTTCTAGTTATCTTATCTATAGATCTCGGGGAGATTGTTAGGTTTTGTCACTACTGTTTCGAGGTTTTTTTTAGAATCCCTTGGGATACTAGTCGCGCTCTGACTGACAACGGGACTCAGACACCTGCAAAAACACGAATCTTCGGTGATCGGAGATCCGCCTTCGACGATCAAGTTAGTGACCAGAAACGGAATAAATGTAAAAAGAGAAAGTAAAGAGTATTTGGAGCTTTTAGTGCTCTATTGAATGTTATGTCACAGTCCACCCCTCCCATCATCAATGATTGGGATATTTCTAGGGGTGAGGATTTGTGCCTCTTAGGGTAAGTGACCTAGAATTTAAGGCCCTTGATTGGTTGTGCAATCAGCAAAGGACATATGTCCTCTGGGGGCGCCGTTTTGCGGCATTATAGTATTTTGGGCCTCCTAATGTAAGGAGGCATTTATGACATATTTGATTTCAGGTGCTCTCTTTGATGAGTGTCATTTATGACACTCATTTGTTCTCTTTTAGGATGATTTTAAATTGCTTTTATAGCTCTTTTTTTTTTTCCTTTTTGCTTAGTTTAGTTCTTTAGTTTGCACTTTACTTAGTTCATTTTCCATTTTCATGCATTTCTTGGTTTTTCTTGTCTTTTTCCCTTTTATTTGTTTGTTTTCAGATTAGGGTCGCTATCCAAAGATTCTTAAGATCCCTTCCAAAGTTTGGCATTGATTAGGAGGCCTAGTGTTCTCCATTTGAAGCCCAAGAGCAAAGGAGTTCAAGAGCTTGGTCATTTAAGTTGCGCCTTCATGCCGTGAGGGCATGAAGGAGTGGTGTCAAACCCACCAAGAAGTGCTCAACTTTCTCCCTATTGCATCATGGCTCATCCGGAGCTCACGAGGACAAGCTCGGCCTCACCCAAGGGATCTCCCCTACTCTAGCTGCGTGAGCGCGTACGAGAGAGGAGCGGCTGCGCCAGGCTTATGTGCGGCCGCACCCCTTCCTTCTCCCAGCTCTGTACCCTTTTTTTAGTGGCCGCGCTCTTTGAGGTTATTTTTAGGACGTCTAACTAACTTCCTTATAGTTAGTTTTGTATAAATAGAATCAGCTGGATTTTTAGAGAGAAAAGATGATTAGGAAATTAGAATTAGAGTTTTAGAAAGAGAAACACTTGTTCTTAGATTTTAGAGAGAGAAATTCATGGCTGATGATTGATGATTCTAAGAACAATTTCGATTGATTTCACCAAAGTTTGTAAGGATTTATTTTACTTTAATGCAATCTTTATTTGTTTGATTTCAATTGTTATTATTAGTTGATTAAATTTGTTTGATTGAAATGATGATGATGAATGTGTTGATTAGCTTAGTTTTGATTTTGATTTCTTCCATGTATAGTGAGTAGTTTACTTGCTAGGGATGTGGTGAAGCATGTTTGAGTAATTGATCATATCTAATTGGGAGCTTTTAATTGATTTAGCATTGTGATTAAATTGGTTGATTGATTTTGTGCATGTGTTTGATTAATTAAAGAGTAGCTAACTTTAATTGTCATACTAGATTACATTGTGTGCGTACATTGATACGGACCATTGATTTGTAGCTTACATTTATCGACCGAGCTTGGTTTTGACGTTCCTAGTAGAGTCTTTTGTAGTTGGCGCTAGTTAGACCCCTAGGAGATAGCTTGTTGAGCTCTTTTGATTACATTATCTATCTTCCTTCGCAATACTCGAATTGATCAATCTCCAACCCGATTAGAGTGTGTCTATTGCAAGAATATGTGGATCCTAAACCCCTAGTGTTTGTTATATTGATTTACCTTGTGTTTGCGTTGTTTGTTTAGTTGAATCTAGACATTCTACATTCCCATTTACGCTTCGAGATAGCTTAACTTTAGCAATAGTTAACTTCCCCCAATTCCCTTGGGTTTGACCGTTGACTTGCCTCTATACTAGTATTTGGGTTGGTTAAGTGTTTACAAATTTAGTTTTGACCGTGGGAGGATTAGTTTCAACGACCTAGTCTCGACCCGCATCAAAAATGGCGTCGTTGCCGGGGAATGTTGTAGTAGTTTGTTATTGTTGTTGAGTCTATTTCACTTTATCTCAAAAATACAAAAAGATTTTTCCCTTTTAGGCTACATTTGTAGCAGTGCTATTGATATTTGCTTTGAGTTTTTGTATGCATAATAGATGCATAGAATCCGGATGCTGAGAATACACAGTGGAACGTGTAACCCGCCTGCTGTCCCATTTAACTACATTTGTTCCTCTAATCCATATCCTTGAGAGAACCATAACAAGTGTAAGGGTTGCTAATCGTTCTTTAAGTCCAAGCTTTCCAAGAGAGGAAATTCATCAAGAAAGAGAAGAAGAGGATCGAGGAAGCATGGGAGCTAATCCAAGAGTTGCTTTGAAGGAGTTGGGAACTCCCGGTGCTTATAGATTTGGTCGGGTCTAAATCTACCGCAAGTGTACGGGTCGTTTACTGTAAATATAGGGTGAGCAAGGTATCGTATCCACAAGGAGGTCTACTCAATTACCAAGTTAAGAAACTAAAATATTATTTAGACGACAGAAAATATGAGAAAAGTACTACTAAAACTATAAACGATATGATTAAAGTTGCAAACAAGTATGAGAAATAGTCTAGGTTTCGGGTTTCGCTAATTACTCTCTTCAATGAAATTAATCTAATTGCAGGGTTGAATAAATATAGTATAGCAATGATCGAATTACCAATAGTATGTAATTTCCTCTCCCAAGGTAGAAAACGTATATTTAAATCAATCTCATCTCTACTTCCGTGATCACAACAATTGAAATAAACTCATTAAGAATAGGAATTCAATAAGACCACCCCAAGTGTATAACTATTCCTAAAATTATACTATTTGACGTTTGATAATCCCACGAACTAGTATTGAAAGTTCGCTCCCGCTAATAATCCAATACCTTAAACATATAATAAATTGGCCAGATTAATCATACAAAATAAAACAAGATTATCAAATTGTATCATATAAATCAAATCCAAACAATATAATTCAATTCATTGATAGATTATAAGTGACTACATCCCTAACCTAGAACAAGGAAATTTAGTTAGACATGGAGATTAAGAGAACACAATCAATAATTGTAGGGAATATTTCAAGCATTACCCCTAGCTTGAACCCCACTGTGATCATAAACTAAAGTACGGTGGCGTCCAAAGGGAAGGAAGCTAGAGCAAAAGAGTCGCCAACAAGTTTTAGGAACTTGTAAACCGTTTACAGGGTGAAGGTTACATCCATTAATGATCTAGGAGATCGTTGACTCCAATAAGTCTGGAACCATGACTGGTAGTTCGGGGATGAAGGTACAAATCCAACCTAAAAGAGATTGAACCTACCCTAATAATAGGCCTCTACTTTATTCTGATCGTATTCATGTGCGCTTTCTGACTAACATGCAATCAATAGGATTAATCCTAAACCTGTTTATCTATGTTGGTTGAATATTAATGCACAAATAAATCTATTATTGGCGATCACTGGAATTATAATCAAATTAACCCTAAACAAGATTATTAATTATCTTATTAAGTGTGATTACAAGTACCAAATTCCCTTTAAACATGCATAAAAGGCGTGATCAAGCAATGATAATAATATATATCAAGCAACATAATAATAATCATCATAATAAAATAATAATAATAATAATAATATTCATAACCATAATCATGAATCATAATTAATAATCATAAATCATGTTAAAGCATAATAATAGCAAGATCCTAGGCATGATACTAACAAGATTAATAACAAACCCTAGCATGTCACTAAACAATAAAGATTAAAGCTTTAACCCTAACATGATACTAACAATCAAAGAATATTAGGAAGAATATAAAAGGCATCATACTTTTAATCATACTTGATATTAAATCTAGACATGATACTAAGAATTTATTGTTGTCACCCTAAACATCAAATTAAGGAAAACATCCTAACATGATACTAGGAATCATAATAACAACCTAAGCATGATTATATCAATTAAACAATTAAAGCACTTACTTGGATCCCTCGTACGTCTTTCTAATAACAAAATACACACGTTAGTAACTTCAAGGAAAATAAAAATTAAAACAATTAAATTAAATAATTGAAAGAGAGATTTGGGACCAAACCCTCAGAAATTAAAACCTTTCACGTCTAGGGCGAAGGCAACTTCGAATATGGCTAGGTGTATCTAGGTCTTGTGAATGTGGAATTTTGTATTTTGAGAAAAGGCTAGTTTAGAAGAGAGAGAGAGAGTAATCAAGAATTTCTTGATGAGAGTTGGTGAATATTAATGAGAATTGGTGAATGAAAACGGAGTTTTTAGAAGGCTATTTATAGAGAAAATCAGCCAAAAAGATAGAAAACCGAAATAGAGTTCTGACGCGCAAAAACGAGGTTAGCGCAAGACGCTGACATTAGCGCCAGGCGCTAACGCTAGCGCCAGGCGCCAAGCTGGCGCTAATTAAATATCTGACGCATTTTCTAAAATCAGATAGTAATTTACCGTACAGGAGGATAAAATCGTATTTTCCTCAAAAATATTCTTTTATTCTGATTAAAACTCTAAAAAGTCAACAAAAGTAATTTATCAATGCTAATTGAATTAGGAATGAAAAGAACCTTCTAGAATAATCTAGAAGACTAAAACCATTCCTAATTGCATTAGGAATGATAAATCCATATTAGGCCCTCGTCTAGATTATTGGGCCGCATATAAGGCTCAAACCAAGCCCAGTTTAGTAATTTGGCCATAACTTTCTCAATATTCATCGGAATTGGGCTTATAATATATCGTTGGAAAGCTCATTTCAAGCCTTATCCAACTACATTACTATTGGACCCATATCATGGACCAACCAAACTGGATTTACTGTTTTCTTAAAATAGGTTTTCAAAACCAGAGAGAGGAGAAGAGAAAAGAAAAGAAATTAAAACTATCCGCAACACTAGACTTTTCATACTTTCACTTCATTCGATTATGATTCGACGTGAAAGGTACTCATCACTGGGTTTGGTTTTGGGGAGACACAAATGGGTGTCTACAATAATATATAACATTGTTAATTGCATAATCTTAAAGAGAGAAGAGAAAACTCCAATTATAGAACAAATCAGGACGTTGCTCAAGACTCGTATTGCTGCTTCTTCATCCTTCTCTCGGTCTCCTGGATTCGCTACCCCCTGCTGCGTCGCTGCCACTCCCTCTTTATACTGTAGGTTATGTTTGAGGGTTTTCCTCTAGTTCTGCCGCTTCCTCTTGGGAAATTAAAAGTTAATGGGTTGAAAACCCACTAATCCTTGTTTAGTGATGCACCTCACATGAAAGAGTAAAATGTGGGCTTTTTGTTTTTTAAAGTTGAACTTGTTATTTTCGTCACATATGCAATTAACCTGTAACAATAAGAAAGATGAAATTTTAGTAGTTCCTTAGTCAAATTTTCATATTATGAACATTATTAGGTAAAAGTTATTAATTTAGCTTAACAAGGTAAATTTCATAATAAACCATTGAAACCTATATAAGAACATAATTTATACTCAAAAATAGTATTATATGATCTAATAAAGTATATAAAATAAGAACTTATCAACTCCCCCATACTTGAGATTTGCTAGTCCTCAAGCAAATAATAATATATCAAATAAAAAATTTCAAATTCGATTTCATTCCAAAATAAGATTATGGTGACAGTCAGCTAGAATGGATCAAGTATGATACGAAACAAGAATTAACACTCTCATTGACCAATCATTCTTACCGCTTCTTTCCCCTATATTTGAATCCACCCTAGGGATGCTCATCAACCGTTTAGCTCATGCCTCTCTTTGGTTTGATGACCCTCGTCAGGACTTGCACAAAATCTAACCCTCCACCAATTCGTAGACCAATAGCATATATAGATCAAAAGGACTTTCATATGGTTGAAACGAGGCTAGGGTTAAGGGTGTGAATATTTAAGAATGTGGTGGTAAAAATGCCAATCTAAAAGAGTAGTGCACAACCTTTAGATATGGAGGTCATATTCAATTCTTACTATTATATCATCACCGTACTCCAAATTTTTAAACTATACCCCTTTTTTTCATCATACATTCATCATTTTCAACTTATTTTATTGTACAATAATTTTTTTTGCTTTTTTTTTCCTTGGACCCTTGTTTTCATTTCTTTCAGAGCTCATTTTCATTTATTTTTCTTTTTTTTCATACTTTCAATTTTTTTTCTTCCCTCTTCTATTACAAAACTTACAACATAACTTAATAATAACATCACTCCTTTTAGCAAGGCATAGGTAAAGGCCATAAGCTTATAATGTAGGATTATCCAAAAGATGGATATTACAACACAACAGGGCTAAGCAACGGGTAAATATGTAAAAGAAAAAAAAATGAGTGAGCCTAAATTTTGAAGGTTCTAATCATGAAAGAAAAATAATGCCTTCATCATTTCTCATACACCTTAGTCTTTGGTCTTAGGAAGCTAAAATGCAAGTCCCAATTTGAGCAATCAAGAAGAAGGATAAATATGTAGACAATTGAGTCTTACGAGGTTCGTGGCCCTCCTTTCGAGATTCATCCCATAAGGGAAAAGCAATCCATCTTACCACAAAGTCACAAAAAATGTCACAATCAATGTCAATGAAGGACTTATGCTATCTTTATATACCATGTAGTTTTTTTATTGATCAGAAACAAGTCAATTAGTGAAAATCATAACAAAACCTTTTTTTTCTTATGAAAATTCTGTAGAAAATTTGGCATCACTTTCCTTGAAACGGGCATTTATCAAAATTAAACTCATTGAAAACTTGCACAAAATCCCAGCCATGCTTCATACATTGCAACACAAAGAAACTGAACTATCATATTAAAACAGAAAAGGCAATTGTAGAAAATTTCAAATTTCTAAGACCTCTCCCCCACACTTAAGGACAAACATTGTCCTCAACGTTAATAAACAGAGCTGAAAAGCAAAGAGTAGGAGTATTTATAGCAGCCAAGGACACAAAAACAAAGAAAACTAAGCATAGAAAGAGACAACCTGATAGAATTTGAGGCTTGGTGTTTGTAGCAGCTTAAAAACTACTCTGGTCAGCAGCAGCTAAACCTCTTGACACATAACAACCACATCCTTGAAACAGCAAAGAGCAGTAATTCCCTTCTCTTCATTTAGAAGTGTCTAGATCACCATCTTATTTTCTAAGCTGCAAGAAAATAGAATAAATAGATAGAAAAGATAAAATAGGAGCGAGAAAAACAAACAAAAACCAATAAAAGGAAATGGAAAAGAACTTGGGTTGCCTCCCAAGTAGCGCGTGTTTTAAGTCGCAAGCCTGACTTTCATGAGTGTTCTTAGCCAGGGTCTTCTAAAAAGTCAGACACTTCTTTAGGCATCATCTCATTCTCCCTTTCACCAACCAAGTAAGGGTTGCATTGTAAGCAAGCTTCCTCCAGAACTTCACAGTTGCATATTCCTTCCATGGCGAGCATGCTTCAATATCATTTGCAATCTCTATTAAGTCTACATTTATATCTTCAACTGTACCTGCACTTGTTAGACATACTTCTAGGGTATTTTCAGAAACATAATCTATTGATTTTCTATCTAAATCAGTGATCTCATCAACTCTAAACACATGATCAGAAACAAGAGAATGTTTTGTTGGTTGAGACAAATCGAAATGCACCTCTTCTTCACCAATGTTAAAAGTTAACTTACCATTATTAACATCTATTATAGTACCAAAAGTAGCTAAAAATGGTCTTCCTAGAATAATAGGGACATTAACATCCTCATCCATATCAAGAATAATGAAATCAACAGGTATGATAAACTTATCAACTTTCATTAGCACATTTTCCACAACTCCTAAAGGATATTTAATGGACCTATTAGCAAGTTGTAAAGAAACGGTAGTGTGTTTTAAATCATTTAAGCCTAGCTTCTTGTAAATATACAATGACATGAGTGAGACACTTGCACCTCAATCACCTAAAGCTCTGGAAAAATTATTCTCACCAATTTTGCAAGGAATAGAAAAGTTGCCAGGGTCTTTCAATTTAGGGGGAAGCTTTTGTTGAATTACGTCACTACATTCTTCACTTAAAGCAATAGTCTCATAGTCCTCCAATTTTCTCTTTTTAGACGTGATTTCCTTGAGAAATTTAGCATAAGAGGGTATTTGCATCAAAGCATCAGCAAAGGGGATATTAACATGCAATTGTTTGAAAATTTTAAGAAACTTTTCATATTGATTTTCCACTTTGTTTTGCATAAGTCTTTGAGGAAAAGGATTTGGAGGTACATATGGCTTAAGAGGAACATGTTTATAATAATCATCGTTGTTATCTTCAAGTTGCTTTTCATTCTTGGCATTTTCACTTATGAGCTCATTGGTTTTAGATTGAACATTTACATCACCAAGGGTTTTACCACTTCTTAAGGTTACAACTTTGCATTACTCTTTAGGGTTAACCTTAGTTTGACTAGGCATAATTCCTTGGTTTTTAAATTTAATAGCATTAGCTATTTGTCCAATTTGAACTTCCATATTTTTGGTTGAATTAGCTAATTGATCAACTTTATTTTCTAATTTTATAAATATCTCAGAAGTAGCATTAGCAAGTTTTTCAATAGTCAATTCCCATGAAGGTCTCTCTTGTTGTGATTGTTGTTGTCTTTGAGGAAAACTAGGAGGATTTTGTGGTCTAAGGTTATTAGCTTGGTTTCCTTGATCTCTCCATGAAAAGTTAGGGTAATTCTTCCAGCCAGGATTATAAGTATTAGAGTAGGGGTCATTTTGTGATCGATTATAATTAGAAACAAATTGAGCTTGTTCAAAATTAGGACAATCATTACTAGCATGTGCACCCCCATAATTACCACAAGAGAAATCAAGACTAGAAATAAGACTAACATTACTCATTTTACTGAAAATTTTAGTCAAATTATTAACCTTAGCATTTAAATGTTAATACCATCTGATTAGGGGATTTTTATCCACCAATCACCGTTTGACAAGTGGACCAACCAGGTTCCGCCACGTGTCCTTCACGTAGGCCAATAGGAGCCTGCCACGTGTCAATCACAGATACGTCCTCTACGGACCAATTGAGACACGCCACGTGTCCACCCATGCCAAATGGGAAAACCGGCCAACAAGGCCCAATCCTGTCTAGAGGCCCGGTCAGCCCTAGGTTTACCCTAAACCTAGAGAGTGGCACGCTTCTCAAGACTATAAATACTTAATTACTCCTCATTAAAGGGGAAGAAGCAATTAATCTCACCGGAAGAACAGAACAGAAACGTTACGGAACACACTAATAACCGGCGGATCTCGCTAACAAAGCAGATTACCAACATTAAACACTCTCACCTAGAGAGATCTTATTACTTTAATTTCCGTATTAATTACTCCTTAATCAGGTACTAACTTGACCGTTGGAGGCGGAGCTCTCAGGAGTCTCCGTTATTTTGCAGGTACAGGCGTCCGGTTCCAGTCTCGGAATTGTAACTCTCCCGCAGGACATCAGAAAACCCCGAAACATTTGGCGCCGTCTGTGGGGAGAGTACTTCAGAGATGGCATCCAAGTCTGTACCGACTCCTGAAGAGAGACGTCCCCTAAACGACCCTCAAGTTCAGTCGGACCATGACACCGAAAGTGAATTTGAAGTTGAAACTCATACAGCTCCAGACGGGACCCTAAGGGCCCGACGTACCCGTCATACCGAAAGGAGGGAACGGGAGCATCTTCAAACAGGAAGCGGGCAAGCAGGCGCACCGCCTGCTCGGCAACAGCCGACTGATGGGTCTGCTCCCATCACAAGAAACGAACTCATGACCTTCATGAGGGACTTCAAGGGAGAGATTCAAGAGTTGATCAACAAGAAGCCGCCTGCTTCAGTCAAGGAGCAGTCGGCCAAGAAACCTTCCACTTCACTGAAGAGGAAGCCAGTTCAAGGACGAGAGGCGACTCCTCATCCTAAATCTAGGAAGCGGGAGCCACCTGCCCTTGATTTCACAAAATTCCGTTATCCTACAGGAAATAGGAAACCGGTTCGTCATATTCAGGCGGACGGGTCAAAGCAAACGTTCACAGATGCTCGGCTACTACTAGAGCAGAAGAAGAGTGACCGATTGTCAGAGTCGGCTTCTACTTCAGACTTTCAAGACAGTTTGCGAAATGCCTCGATGAGGCATACTCAGTCGTACCATGAGAGTCAGTCAGGCGGCACCTCCCGTCAGTCCGGCTTTCATAGTGCCCAGGCGGTACCCAACTTACCATTTGTGCCGCAACAGTATTTTATGCAGCCACCTCCATTTGGTGGACCTGCAGCAAAAAACGTCCAACCTATGGACTGGCAGCTACGGTTGCTTAGACTTGGTGAACAGCCGTCGGCCTTCTCCAAGGAAATTACTGAAGCTGCTCAGCCGGCCAAAGTGAAAAATGTACTAGTAGGCGCCTATGACGGCACTACTAACCCAGAAGACCATCTGATGGCATTCACCAACCTGATGTACCTTCAAGGGTTGGATGATCCCACTTGGTGTAAGTGTTTCCCAGCGACTCTCAAAGGAATCGCACAGCAATGGTTCGGCAACCTGCCGACTGGTTGTGTAAATAGCTTCAGGACGCTTGCTTACTTATTTGCCTCCAACTTCGCCATGAACATCCCTGCGAAGAAAACGACCCTAGATTTGGGAACAATTCAGCAGGGCGAGAAGGAGGGGCTTCGCTCTTACATCAGGCGGTTCAACCTGATGAGAATACAGATTCAAGGGTTACCGGATGAGGTAGCTTATACCGACTTTTTTAGAGGTCTCAAAGATGGGTCTACCTTCAAATTTGATTTGGTTCGAAAAAGGGTGGCGACTCTTCAAGAGGCCTTGATTGAAGCAGAAGCCTATATACAGGCAACTGATCTGTGTACGATAAAACAGTCGGATGGGAAAAGGTTCGACAAAAGAGAAGGACGACAGAAACAGTCGTCAAACAAAGATGAGAAAAGAAAAGAGGTCTGGGCGGCTGATTCCTCTAAACAGCCGGCCCAGAAAAAGAAAAAAGAATTCAAACCATACTCCCCAAAGTATGCGTTTAACAAGGATAACCAGTTTATCCTAAAAGAAATAAAGGGACGGATCTCAATTGAGAAGCCGGTCCCCATGAAGGGTTCTGCAAACAACCGGAACCAAGATAAAATCTGTGCTTATCATGATGACGTTGGTCATCACACCAATGACTGCATCAGTCTCATGCGGTACCTAGACCGCCTGGCTGAGCAAGGTGATCTTGACACTTATGTCAAAAAATCTACGGGGAACACTTCCTCAAGAAAGCTGTCGGCTAAAAAGAATCAACAGGCCGACAGCTCCGATACAGATGATGCAGTCGTCTACACCATTGCAGGCGGCTTCTCAGGAGGCGGCCCCACTATTAGGGGCAACAAAGATAATATAAGGCGGTTAGATGTAAATTCCGTTCACCAAGAACGGCCGTCCAAATATACATTTCCTGAGATTGTCATCACTGAAGAGGATCTAGGAGGGGTAAGGGGGCCGCATGACGACCCTCTAGTTATTGAATGTAAAGTGGCCAACCAGAGAGTTGGCCGAATCCTCATAGATACCGGGAGCTCCTCAGATCTCATCAGCAGAAAATGTCTTTCGAAGCTGAAATATCAGACGGACTGCATACATCCGGCCTCCCACCCTTTAATAGGGTTTGGAGGAGGAGTCGTCCACCAACTGGGACGAGTAGATTTACCCATTCGCCTGGGCGAAAAAGGGGAAGGACGACACATGGTAGTCCGGTTCCTAGTAGTAGAGGAACTCTCGGCCTACAACATGATTCTGGGTCGACCAACCCTGAATAATTCCAAGGCTGTTATAATCCCGTCTCTTATGTTGCTCAAGTTTGAGAGGGATAATGGAACAGTCGGCTCCCTAAGGGGAGATCAGAGGATGGCCCGAGAGTGCTATCTCTCGGATGTCAAGCCCACTGTTATGGCCACTGGGTCAAGTGGAGAAAAAACAGACCTTGACAATGTCAAGGAGAATGCGCCTGTTCAGGAAGCAGGCGGCAAAAAGAGAAAGGCGTCCCAGACAGAGTCCGCAAGAAAAGCGAGAAAATAGCAATCATTGGCAGAGGAGCGGCCGGATGAGTTCCGCCCTCAGCCGGCTGGTGAACATGCGGACCTTATCTTAGACGACTCACGTCCTGACCGAACAGTCAAAGTTGGGACGACTGCTCTGAGAAACCTTGGTGACGACTTTCACAACCTATTGAAAGAATACAAGGACATCTTTGCATTTGAAGTCCATGAAATGCCAGGCATTAGTCCTGATCTGGCGGTACATAAACTCGCTGTGGATCCGAAAAAGAAGCCGGTACGGCAAAAGAAGCGGAACCATGGCGAAGAAAGAAGTCAGGCGGCAGCCGCCGAAGTTAAAAAATTACTTGATGCAGGGTTCATTCGGCAATGTTACTTCCCAGACTGGGTTGCAAATGTGGTGCTTGTTAAAAAGCCGAATGGCACCTGGCGAATGTGTGTAGACTACACAGACTTGAACAAGGCGTGCCCCAAAGACAGTTACCCTCTGCCTAAAATTGATAACCTGGTCGACTCAACAGCCGGCCATGCCTTGATGAGTTTCATGGACGCCTATTCTGGTTTCCATCAAATTCCCTTATGGAAGAAAGATCAGGAGAAGACGGCCTTCGTCACTGATCAGGGGTTATACTGTTACACGGTCATGCCGTTTGGTCTTAAGAATGCCCCGGCTACCTTCCAACGAATGATAAACACAGTGTTCTTTGATCAGATTGGGAGAAACGTCGAGGCATATATTGATGATATGATTGTCAAGACTAAACTTCAGAAAGATCATCTGTCGGACCTCCGAGAAACTTTCGCCACACTCAGGCGGCACCATGTCATGCTCAATCCCAAGAAATGTGTATTTGGAGTTGAGTCTGGGAAATTTCTCGGATTCCTTATCAATCAGAGAGGAATAGAAGCGAACCCTGAGAAGGTGCAGGCGGTCATTGACATGCAGTCGCCTCGTACCATCCGAGAGGTTCAGAAGTTAACAGGTTGTCTGGCGGCCTTGGGAAGATTTCTAAGCCGATCAGGCGACAAATGCCTATACTTTTTCCAGGCAATTAAGAAAAAGGCAAGGTTTGAATGGGGGCCGGATGCTGAGGCCGCCTTCCAGAAATTAAAAGTTCACTTGCATTCCTTGCCGAGGCTGGTCAGCCCTTTGCCCAAAGAGGTTCTCTACATGTACCTGACCGTCTCTGATCATGCGTTAAGCGCTGTTCTCCTTGCTGAAAGGGACGGCTGTCAGCTCCCGGTCTACTTTGTCAGTCACGTACTGAAAAATGCCGAGTTGAGGTATCCCCTAGTGGAGAAATTTGGTCTTGCACTCTTCATGGCTGTTAAAAAATTGAAGCCCTACTTTTTGGCACATACAGTCGTCGTGTATACAGACCAACCTATCAAGCGGCCGCTGACCATCATGGAGTCGTCAGGCCGAATGATCAAATGGGCCATAGAAATACAGAGCCTCGAAGTTACTTTCGAGCCTAGAAAAGCAGTAAAGGGGCAAGCCTTTGCTGACTTTATTGTAGAGATGACTCGTCCTCCTGACTCTCAAGTTCCAGACCAAGTATGGAAGGTATATGTGGACGGAAGCTCTACTTCAAATGGTTGTGGAGCAGGCGTCGTATGTCAGTCTCCAGAGGGCGACAGGTTCGAGTATGCTCTACGCTTCAGTTTTCAGGCTTCAAACAATGAGGCAGAATATGAAGCTTTACTAGCCGGGATCCGCATGTGCAAGGCGGCAGGGGCAAGAAAAATAGACGCCTGTTCCGATTCACAATTGATAGTGAGTCAGTACAATGGCGAATATGAAGCCACCCATCCGGCC